TTTGTTTGCTACGTAGTTACACTTCTTTTTTTCATTAACATGACCATTTGAAATCTTGTAATTATGATCTGTGATTTGTAATTAGGAACCTTGAAATTTACAGCCACCTAAAGATTTCTTAGACTACTAATACTGCAATACTAATTTTGCATAAGTTAAAAAAATATTTCCTCTTCGTAATCAGAGAAATTGTAACAACTTTGTTGCTAGTTAATAAAGCTAATAATTATAGATTGAACTGGAAATTACTCCGTTATTGCATCTACATCTAATTTTCAGGTGCAAGAGTTGGTTACTTGCAAGTCAAAATTGCACTTGTGAGTCTCTTGTCAAAATTTAAGTTTAAGCTTCATCCTCGAACTCCAGTTTCACTCTCTTTCGATGAACGACCTCTTGCATTTGTACCCAAAGGCGGTGTGTATTTTATCATCGAGCAGCGATAAAAAATTTTTTTTAAATATTGCTGCGTACATTACATATACAGTGTATCTCATAAATATCAAATAGTACAATAGATTTAATAGAGAGTGAAAAAAATGGAGAAAAAAGAAGAAAGAAAAAGAGAGGGAAAAAGAGGAGATAAATATAACACATTGGCAACCTATGTAAACTTGGCACTCGACTTTTAATAAATAAAGTTTTTAATAAGTAAAATGATAGTACTTTGTTTGTAGTTGTTTGTAGTAAAAATATTTTCGTTTGTAGTTCAACCCATTATAAAAAAAAAATGTTTAAAAAATGACTGTCACCCGACTTTAAGATTTTTCAAATCCGCTTCTTCCACGTGATTCGGAATCGTTTGTAGTTGTTTGTAGTGATTTTCCTTTCGTTTGTAGTTGAATAGTTTAAAAGTTACAAAATATTTGCAATAAACAAATAATGTAACTTTGTCAATTTTGAAGATTTTTCAAATCCGCTTTTTCCACGTGATTCGAAATCGTTTGTAGTTGTTTGTAGTGATTTTCTTTTCGTTTGTAGTTGCACCGTTTCAAAATTATGATTGTTTAAACAATTAGCCAAGAATGAACTTTGTCAATTTTGAAGATTAAAGAAAGAAAAGAAAAGAATATTGTCAAAGTAAAATATATTTTTCCATAATTACTGCCTTTTATTATTAGTCTGAATAACTAATTAAACATACAATTTCTTAAAATATGTAATGAAATGAAATGTCTTAAATATGTAATGAAAATTATCTTTCAGACTTGACATTATTACATCTGGCTTTACTGGCAGCAGAAACGAAACGCAGCACCAGTAATTTTCATTGCTGCCAACAGTACTGTTTTTACTGGCAGTAACCAAACCTATTTTCCAACACACTATATTATGCACAACACAAGTAGCGGTATAAACGGTACATGCAGCGCGACGCATATAATGTGATACTGACACAGATGTCTATACTAGTACTAGATCGCTAACTTCGTCAAAAGAGCTGAGGCCGGCAAGATTTCCGGTTTCGGCCATGACACCCTACAACAAAATAGCGACAATGCGTGTGTTATGTGTATATCTGTACGTGCGTATGCACATGTGATACCCGGCGTGGTGATACAAATTGATAATATTGTAAAAATTCTTGAAAGATGCCGAGCAGTTGTTGAGCAGTTGTTGAGCAGTTGTTAAGCGGCCATTTTGTTGTAGGGTGTCATGGCCGAAACCGAAAATCCTGCCAGCCTCAGTTTTTCCATACGTCAAAGCCTAAAGATAGCGATCTAGTACTAGTATAGACATCTGTGGATACTGATGACTCATTTTTGAAAGATGTGATTTCGAAACATAATAAAATCATATATGGTTGAATTCAGCGTAAAAATGCTACAACTTTTGTCATTACAAAAATTTTGAAATTTGAAAAAATAATAACAAGGGGTGGGAGTAAATTAAAAAAAATTACATTTTTTTAAAATTTAACTACATAGTTATAAAGCCCATTACAAGCCATACAACTTCTATTTGAAATATTTTTTTATCTCCTACGATTTTGGCGATAGTTACACACAAAGAAAAAAACCGTTTTTTTTTTCAAAGGGGTGTTTGATCCCTTAAATTTGAGTTAGGGCCGCTATAAAAAAATACGTGTCTCATCAAATTGTATGGCTTAGTTTACACCGATTGTTTAGTACGCGTACCAAGTACTAAATCAGCTTCTTTGATTGGTGTAGATTTTACACTAAACGATTTATACCTATCGGAGAAGCAGATTTAGTATTTGGTACGCGTACTAAACAATCGGTGTAAACTAGGTCTATGTTTTACAACATATTTCAAGAAGAATCAAATCGGGGGGGGGGAGGAGGGGGCATTTGTGAACGTTCCCTTGTTAGTATTCTGTAGTTAGTGGACAGAAAGTGTACTTTGTGCACATTGGTGGAATCAGCAGGTATGTAATGTTTATAGAGAAGAAATGTCTAACACTTGGATTGAAGCTGACGATACGCTAATTAAAAAAAGACAATGGCCTAGAGGTGCTAAAGATGTTTTTGTCATTCTTACAGAAATTTGATCAAAAGTAATCTGTTTTTATATATAAAAAAACGCAATAACTTAGAAATACAGATGGTTTTTTACCCTTTTATGATCACTAATAATTTTCTTATAAAACATGTTGCAAAGTATAAAAACAAAATTATTAGGTTTGTATAAATTAAGATTTCTATAATCAAAAAGAGAATCGTCGTATTGAAAATATGATGGGAGTGATGGTGGGATATTATTATCATTATTTTTACTAAAAAAAAGAATCATATTTATTAAAATTATTTTTACTAAAAAAAAGAAATGATATCTCACAAAAAAACTTTTTTTTTAAAAAAGGTAAAAAAGGGCGCCAAGTACACGCCTTGTTATATTCAAAAAAGTTTTCTTTATAAAAAAACCTTTCCAAAAAATTGTTTTTTCAAAATTTAATTATACGTTAGCTCGATTGAATTTATTTGTATTCATTAAATTTTTGCGAAATTAAGCCATTTTTGTCTTATAGGCCTTTTGAAAGAAATTGCTAAATAGGTAGATAAATATGAAAAAAACTATTAAGAAGAAATACGTTAGAGCCTTTGTCATTCGGCAGTCCAGAACCAACGTTGCGATTAGATAGAAACATAGCATTCCAAAGTGCAACTGAAATTTGATAAAGAATTTTAATTATTACATCTGAATCATTATATTATAATAAATCTATGTATAATTGTCATTTCTTTCAATCTTTTTTTATTAAATAAACAAATATTATAAAAATATATTTAGCACACTAATTGAAAAAAATAACTGAGAATAATAAAATAAAACGTTTAAAAGTAATGTCGACATTAAATTCGAGTATTAAGTTATAGAAATGTAATCGCGTAAAGATCGAAAAAGATTGACGAGAATTAATTCAATGTCAATTGACAGAAATAAGATTCTAATAATCTGTATAAATTATTTTGGCAGTATAATGCTTCATAATTACCAGCTGAATACAGGTCATATATTTCTTCCACCAGATGTACTTTTTATATTTGGAACCAAGCGCGGCGATGAAATAATAACTGTACATAATAATGTGAACGGCGGAATTCAAAAAAGCTATTAGGGCACCTTGCTCACCAGGCAGCAAATTCAAGAAGCACCACGAAATAAGGACCGTTACTGTGTGGTGATAAACGTGAAGAAAAGTTAGTTGATATTGTTTCTTTCTCAACACCATAAATACCTTCAAAAAGTAGAGAAAGGAATCAACATTATTAGTTATATTTTTTAATTAGTTAGATTTTTTTTCTTATTTTACTCAAATTTATTTATATTACTATATATAAAAACTAGAATTAAAATTCGTATAGCTAGTGATGCATTCCAAGCGCGGAAGCGTAACGTAACTACTTTATTGACTGCCATAATGATTAATTCATCTGCATTAATTTTATTGTGTACATATGTACATATGTATTTATTTATATCATATGCATACATTTGCTTACCGTATCTAAAAACTCGGTGACTTTTGCAAAGAAATACCACCACACACTTCGTGACAGCTGGACATTCAAAATATACCGACATAAAGTTTGATTTATGAATCACCGATATAAAATTCGATCCATTTTTAGCAAAATTAATTTTTTAAGAAACACATATAGTCGAATCTGCTTGGTTATTATGTAAACAGAAATAAACTACCTTAACACTATTTAATATCTAAATAATCATGATCAATTTTGCCAAAAAATTTACGCTAAGCTAAGAAATATCTCTTAATTAGATGAAATGAATTTAAGCATATGGATCGAATTTTGTGCCGGTGAGGGTATGATACACAACATTACAAATTTATCGTAAATTATTATTGTAAAAATTAAAAAAAAAGTGCTTTACCGCTGTCCGTATGTATTTTCTTTGTGACGAAGGTAAACGGTGGACATCATTACATCCGTGAAAAGAAAATAATCGAATATTAAGATCTAAAAGCTGAAATCAATGAAATTTTTTATTACACATCAAATTATTCTAGTTGATTCCTTTACATTCAGATTTATTTAAATTTAGATAGTTATATCAAAACGTTAACTTCAATTAATTAATTTTTATAAAAGTGTTGAATTAATAAATATATATTATTATATTCTCCAGTCATTTACACAATAACTATACTATTTAATACTTATTTTGAAGCTTTCACAATTCACATATCAAATGCTAAAGTAATCTTTTTTTGAAAATGGAATAATAGAAAGTGAACAAAGTACATATTGTAACACGTTTTTCACTGTTTAATATTAAACATTAACAGATTTCACGCAGAACCACAATATTATACTTACCAAAAATGTTAACCAGATACTAAGAACTACTTGAAATCCATTATAAAAAATCATAGCTGTATTAAGTTGGAAAGCAGGTCTTTGTTCCATTATTTTTGGTCCTTTTATTGCAAATATTAAATATGTCACAAGAATGCACAATATAGGATATGGAGATCCCATTAGAGGCCACGTGTCCATTATCGGATCTGCGTCGGAAAACGAAATATAATTCGTCTATTTGTTACGAAAATTCGTAAAATACGTTCATTGCCTAAACAATTTTTAAATTCAATTCAATGTTAGAAGAAAAAAGGCGTCACAATCTCGAGGCGTCAATCTCGCTTGAAAAACTAAACTAATTCCGAGCACTGATTTAATTAATAGCAGGCTATAGCTATATTTTATAAACTATAATTTATTTCTAGAATTAAAATTCGTAAAGCCAGTGATGCATTCCAAGCGCACACGGAAGCGTGACGTATCGGTTCTCACTTGTGTGCACCGAGCAACGCGCAGTACCGTGCGGTGCTAGCCTGCTCGAACTTGAATCACTGCTTATAGCTGTGGTCAAGAAATAATTATTGTAAAAAGTAAAAAGAAAAGTGTTTTACTGCCGTTCGTAGATAGTTTCTTTGTGACGAAAATAAACGATAGACATTATTACATCCGTCAAAAAAAAAATAATAGAATACCGCGCTCTACCCGTACACGAGCGTTGACACGAATATTACATCCTATATATGTATACATATATACATTCTGTATATATATATACATTATAAACATTATTTATTTAAATTAAGTACATCTAATTTTAG